ACACACATTGGTATCACAACAGCATAATAAAACTATACTATTATTTTTCAACTCCGAAATATTTTCCTCGTTTTTTATGGGTAAACAAATTAAGGATTTTATACACTTTTCTAATTTGAGGTACACAAAAACAGGTTTTTTATTCTACATCTAAAAGGAAAATAATATAACAAAATCTGTTTAAAAATATATGGTTTGTCTCAAAAGTGGCTTACCCCTATAACTTTTTATTTTTTTCAGATAATAAACGAGATTTGGTTTGTATATGACATAAATTAGGATTTATTGACGTATTCAATTCTTTTTGGTCACTTCCTGTTTCACCGGAAATGACTACAACTTTTGATTTTTAAATGGGATCCTCGGTATATTTCTACTTTATTCGATAGAAAATGACACTCTGAATAGAATGACATATCATATCAACTTTTGACATTTTCGCTTTTTTTTGTAATTTTTTTTTTTAAATTTCAATCTAGAATGCCATGGCGGTGTTAAAAACACTAACTTTTAATCAAGGAGCCTTGGAAAAATAGATTTGATCGTCTGATGGTTTTCGTGTCTTGTTTTGGCCGGTTAAAAGATACCCAAATCGTATTTTAAATCATATTTCAATTTTTTGAAATGAAACAAGGGTGGCTCATTAGCATATTTGAAAACAGCATTTTTTATGAATAATTTGGTACCACACACTTGATATTTCGAGTCAAATTGTCGTTATGAACCGCATGTTACAATTTCAAATAAATCATATGCGAAAATGTCAAAAGTTGACATATGATATGTCATTCTCTTCAGTATGTCATTTTCTATCAAATAAAGTAGAAATATACCGAGGGTGCCATTTGCCATTTAAAAATCAAAAGTTGTAGTCATTTCCGGTGAAACTGGAAGTGACCAAAAACAATTGAATACAGTCCTAATTTATGTCATATATTAACATACCAAATCTCGCTTTTTAACTGAAAAAATAAAAGTGGGTAAGCCACTTTTGAGACGAATCCGGTATTAAGTATATTTCAAACAATTGATAAATTAAATGATCATTTTTGTACAATATGCCCGACGCACATTTAAAATCTAAATAATATCCTATAATATTAAGATTTCATATAGAAACAATATATCGTTACAAAACACACTCGCTAATAATTTGTTTTGGTTTGCTGTTTAGACTGACTCACTTCACGCATATCGGAAAAACACAGCAATTTTCATATAAAATTATGGCCGTTGCTATATTCAGGTTAATAGTAGAGCGCAATACGATATTTATTAGATGCGGTCTTCTATGGAGCAGGAAGTATTAATTTCGGAAACATAGACAGAGCAACTACGTTGTGTAATTATTTATTCCCGGTCTGCTTCAAACATACACACAAATGTCTGCTTTCTACACAAGCATCTATTGAAATGTACGAATGTATTTTTTTATAATGTTTGTTCGAATAGGTACGGTTTTGATTTAAATGTCTAGATAATAAGATGACGTTTACACAACACAGATATTTGTAATGTGATAAAATCGTGTTTTCACGCAGATTCTTATTCAAGATCAACGATGAAGGATAAATAGTACCTATGTTTTATATGTGTAGACTGGTACTTTTTATTATATTTAGTTTCTTCGACAAATAATGTAAATAGACAAAACTTCCTATAGACTTGGTGCATTTCAGTTCATTTTAAAAATTCCGACCGCAGCGCTAAAACGGCAGAAATGAGAAATGCCGGGTATAAAATATTTCACGCAGTCCTGTTACTGTTGATGTTGATCGCACTGAAATAATATGAAAATCGTGGCTTTGTCATAATATTTAAGTCTTTGTTTTTTTACTAGTGCAGTTATTGAAACTATAAAACACTCAGGTACGAGGTTTGTGTGCTGTAACGCTGTTTCGGGTAGTAAAAAATAAGTGAAAAAGAACCCGAACTAGGTGTCGTGTGTTGTATTGTGACAGTTTCAAATGTTGATAAAATTGCCGAAAAAATGTAAGCGTGTAAAAGAGAGCGTAATTAGGGCGTTATTGGGTGCAATACCATTCAATAACTCAACTTTCCCGGATATTTAACTCTTCCGAAACAACATTTTATAGCTTCACAGTTTCTCACACCAATTTGATCAAAAGCAAAAATTCAAGCAATTCGACGAAACAAATGAGTAAACAACGTGCTCACTACATAATCAAAAAATGAAATAAGCATATACTATGAGAGGATAAAATATAATTTGCAATATTAATGCTATATTTTTTAATCTACGCAATGTCTCATTATGACACATTTAACATTATCATTTGGATATCATTATGGCTTTCATAATAGCACTATATGAATTCATAATAACACGCAAATTTTAAAATAAGAAACAAGCAAAAAAAGGTACCTAAATACGTTTATTTATTGTAAACATTAATTATATAATATCAGTACAATTGGTTAAATTAATTCCAGACGATGACAGGTGAGTTGAATTTTTAGAAAGTAAATTTATTTCCTGAGTGCTTGAACTTGTTGAAGACATTTTTTTCTTATTTTTTTTTTGGAATTTTCTATATAGCTCTCTGCCATTGTGTTAGAGCGCCAACCACCATGTCTTTTAACAGTTAATAAATCCACTCCTGAATCTGCAAGCAACGACGCAGACGATCTACGGAAACAATGTCCAGTGTATTGCATAGATAAATGCAACAAGTTTAGATTGGAAAGCCCGTAAAAATTTTGGATCGCGAAATTATTTTGGGTCGCGACCGTTCTACGCGATCTGGCGCTGCTATAGCGGTCGCTAAGAACAACGGCAAACAAAAACAGAAATAATTTTCTCTTGTCAAAGTCAGAATCTTCAAAAATCATAATAATCTTTCAAAATCTAAACCGCTCTCAATAAAGAAATTCCGAAAAGTGTTTATAACGTCCATTTTCAAAGTAATTATTGCTATCTTGTGAGTTTAATTCAAGTTTTTTTTTCACAACCAACCGGTGATAATTGTGAAAAAGTGGCATTAAAAACTTAAAAAGCTGTGCTGTGAACTGTGAACTGCAAAAACCATCGTGGATCGTGGCATAACGTCGGTTTCCAATGTTTCATAGGTATTTCATACATGCGTCCTTATATAATATAAAGTTTCTTGTATGCAACACACTGTATTTTATTTATAAAATTAAACGAAAATAATAATAAATTTGAATAAACAAGGAATAAACAATATTTGGCGATATAATTCCGTAAAAAGCCGAACCGCTCCGAAATTTTCAAAAGTTTTGGGTCGCGACCGTTGCAAGAATAGCGCCAAATAGTGTTTACATTGTCCTTATGGGCACTTTCCAATATAAAACATTTATCTATGGTGTATTGTTGTGGATTTGAAAGACTTAGGAACAATGCTATTTTATACGGCATTTTCCCTAAAGTATTAATGCCAACGGGTTGCTTAATGCATTTTCCATTTCTGTACCCCACAAAAAATCGAGTATGTGTTGCTTGGCCGCATAGCTATATATCTTCCAACCATTTCCACCATATTTATTCCTTCAATATTCCCTTTCGTTATAAAAAAATCTCGCGATATCTTTGTTTTCGTAAATGGAATAATGACATGAATGCATTGTCCTTTATCAATGAAACTTTTGTCAGGAAATAAGTTTTATCATCGGCCTCCAACAAAAAAACGAGTTATGTCTTCTTTTCTTAAAATTCTTGATTTTTTGACCGAAATACTTCCGATTTTCTTTTTAGAAATGCAATTAAATGGACGTACTTACTAATATCTGTATTGTTCTCCATTGATATAACTGAACCTAGCATGAAATAATATACCAAGCGATGAAGCCTTCCTATGTTTTGAAAGATGTTCAAAATATGCCAGGAGAACTTTTTCGTTACTACTATTTTTGATTCCTTTCCCTTTACACCAATCTTCAAGTTTTACATAGGCTTGCTCGTACGTTTGTCTTGATTTTTCGGGAAGTAGGGAATCGACAACGTTTTGCGCAATACCATCATTATCCGAAGGGACACTTTCAGAATCAGAATCACCCATATTAATATTATTTTTTGCTTTTTGCTAAAACTGAACATTTAACACAAAATTGAACATCAATAATTGAGTTGTCAAAGTCAAAATGGAAACAATCAACAAGCACGGTTAACACGGCGTCGACTAATATGGACACCTGATAATTTTGAATTTTAATTTTTATGAGGCTCTGATATTTTAAATTAAATCAAATCTCTTTGGATCGTCCCTCGTGTCGCGTCGTAGATTAAATTTTGAATGATACACGTTCGATACGAACTTTTTAATGAAACTTGTGTAACTAAGCATATAACCTAAAAAAAGCCTAAACGCGTGTAACGTTAGTTATGTTCATTATGATGTTCGTATCGAACTTGTATCATTAATAGCTATTAATCAACTAGTAAGGTTTTATGAGAATCTTTTAAAATTATAATTATGTACCTTTAAAAAATTTCGGTATAGCCGTGCGTGTGGCCTAATGGTGTCCCGGCTTAAATCATACAGATTTTTTGTCACACTTTGTTTTAAAGATTTATAATATTATATTGTTTATATCTATTGACATATTTATAATATTTATTTGTTTCTATGTCAATAATTTATAATATAATAACTCAGAAATTAAGGCACATCTGTATATTTTTATTTGTAGATATTATATTTAATATATTTATGATATCGTGTCATTTCCCTTTTAAAAGTGTGAGAAACTCAATCTAAAAATACTACTACTCTGTATAGATTATGACATTACGGTATTTTTGAATGCTTGTTCGAAATACTGATTTTTAATATCTACATATATATATATAAGACTTAGAGTTTGAGTCTTTTTTCATTTAAAGTACCTATTTGATAAATCAGTCTCTTTGGGAATAATAGCCGTCCATTATTCCATTAATCTTTCAATTTCGAAATACTGAGTCACCTTGTACATCATGTCAATATATGGATATCATTGAAATCACTTAATCGACTTACCAAGTATACGTCTATAGGTTTCTCCCTGTTTATCTTGTAGCTTTTCTGTAGCTCCGTTTGCTTGAGCGCGTGCGCTATATGCAGGGCGCTCGCGTCAAACCTGCCATATTGGTATCCTGCGGGGGATCCCCCGTCAGGATATGACGTAGGACTGTAGTGCGGTCGATCGCCGTAAGGTGGCGAATAGGCCTGGTGGGAATTACCGTTGACGTGGGTCCGAACATGTATACCTAAAGCGAAACAAGTATTAAAGAAAAGAAGAAATAATAAACAGATAACAAAATAGAAATAGTAAAGAAAAGAAAAGTATAATTAATAAATACAAAAAAATATTATTTAAAAGATAATATTAATTGTTGTTGCTGCGTGGCTATAAATAAAATAATACACATCTAGAAAAATAATAAAGTTTTCTAACATTTTATTACAATAATAAAATATTTTATGTTTTAAACGGCACCATATTTAATGCCTCTTCATTTTATTGACTAAGATATTTTGTAAATTAGAAAATAGGTAATTACTGTAAGTTAAATGTGATTTTGTAGATTGCAGATAAGCTGTTGCTGTATAATAAAAACCTTTTCATTTTGTAATTAACAACGTATGTATGTGTTAAGTTTCTCTTTTATATTATTAAAAACTATGACGAGGATTTCACGATATATTTACATTCTAGGGTATAAAAAATAAAAATAAAATAATATACAGGGTGTTTCAAAAAATATGTGCCATCTCTCTTGGGGAGATTCCTCACATAAAAATAAGATTGATTTTTAATATCAACATAGGTCCAATTCTGCTTTGTTTCGTAGCTACAGGGTGTTAAAGTCTTAATATTTTTTCAATTTATTATAATTTTCTTCCACGTACTTTTTGCGTTTGAATGAAATTTTGAGGGTAAAAGTTACTATAAATGCGACATATTTTAAAGCTTAAAAAGTGTCGACATATTTACCAGGGACGTGCATATGGGTTATCACTGGAATATTTTTCTAAAAAAAGCATGTATGCCACTGACTTTTTTTTCTCTTGTTAGCGAAATAGTGTAAGCAGTTTAATGCCGATTAAAATTTGTCTCTTGATAAACGGCCTACACAATTTTGATATCTAAAGAAAAAAGTCAGGGGCGCACATATTTTTTTTAAATATTCCAGTGATAACCCATATGCACGTCTCTGATAAATTTATCGACAATTTTTTAGCATTAAAATATGTATCATTTATAGTAACTCTTACCCTCAAAATTTCATTCCAATCACTAAAAGTAAAAGTACTTGGAAGGAAATTGTAATTAATCGAAAAAATATTAAAACCCTGTAGCTACGAAACAAAGCAGAATCGGACCTATGTTGATATGAAAAATAAATCTTATTTTTACATGAGGAATCTCCCCACGAGAGTTGGCACATGTTTTTTGAAACACCCTGTATAATTTATTGTAAATAAGAATTTGATGAATTTTAATAGAAAATATGAAACACCATATTTTTTAAATTTTATACAAATTACAATCATATATACATTTTCAATTACCCTAAAATAATAGTAATAATTAAAAATAACAATCGATTTGTATTCCTACGCATTAAAAGAGAACGTTCTCGTTATTTTTGTTTAAATATTGTTCTTTTGAAATGGAATAGCAAAAAGTATTTTAGAAACATTCTAGATTTACTTATTTCTCTGAGTGGCCATGCCATGAGAAATTATAATTTTCTAACAGTTATTGGCTAATAGAAATCTATGCGTTTTAGCTCGTAAGAAAAACAAATATTATGCATATTACGGTATCGGATATCGTTAAATTTCACAGCGACAATATTCAGGTATTTATTACAATGTATGTATACTGAAATTCTATTCATACTATATATCACTCTCCAAGGTATACGTACCTACACTCTACAAGTAGGTCGTAAAAAATATTATAATTACTATATTCACCTTGTTTACCTTTGAAGTTAAAATATTTCTACGAGATATTAATTGACATTCTAGATAATAATGCTGTTTCTCCAAGTAGTTTTTTAATTACTGAAAAAATAAATTTATTATAACGGTTTTGGTTTGATTAATATCACAGTTTATATAATTATACATAACTAAATACCGCAATTAAATTGTTTCTCTATAAAATTTGAAATGTGTATGTATGTGTAAGTGGTTTTAAAATTTAAATTAATGTTTTACATATGTTTAGTTTTACATATATATTCTGTATTATAGATCCGGGACAACACCGGTGTCAGGTCTAAGGAGAGACCAAGTTGAAGAGGTGGAGAAAATGGAGACTGATACTCCAGCCTCCATCACAAGGTGGAAGTGCCTAAGGCGGAGACAAGCTCTTAGACTGTGAAAGGCACGGAGGGCTAAACAAACCCAAACCGTGGAAGGATGTATACCCGGATACCCGGAGGATGAACAGCTGTTGTCAGAGGAGGATGGGAAATACCCTGTCTCCCCTAGAACAGGAAGATCCCCATGCATGATGATTTATAGAGTGTATGATGAGTTATAACTCAAGAAAGGAGGACACAACAGATCTTTAAGGTCGCGGTGATTATGCGCGGTTATGAGTGAAAGGGGGGCTCTTTCTACATTCTACATTCTTCTACATAAGTATAATCGTGTTACAGTATACAAAAGCTAGGGTTGGATATATGCATCATTAAAATTAATCAATTTACTCAAAAACTACAAATTTTGAGGTAGGCCAACTATTTTTGTTTTTATGTGTAACTGAGTTACACATAAAAACTATTAATTGATACAAGCATCTAACTCTGTAGAAACAGAAAATTGAATGACAATCGATAATAATTTTGACGAGGTCATTCTCTAGATCTAATTTACTTGGCCCGTATTCTTCTTTATTTTAATGGCGCTTATTCCCAGCTGATCTTTAATGGTTTAGTTTAAAACTCGAGGAAATATATTTTTTGGAAATACACTCACCGGCATCGGCACGAAAATTAAAATTTGGCACCTTAAAATTTTGATGTATTTTAAAGTGTAATATATTTTGTTCTCGTAGGCCGATTTTGATGATTTTTTAAGCAATTTGTAGTTAAATTATTTGGCATTTTAGTGTCTCTTCCTAAATTAAAAATAAAGTTTCCTTCTGTCAATCAAATGGAAAACAAAATGTTGATATTTTGGTGAAAGTTTGAAACACCCTGTGGAATATGTTAGCAATGCAAGGTATTTAAAAATTTTATCATGTAGGTATATCTTTTCTCGATAGTTTGTTTTTTTATTCATCTCAATATCTATTTTTATGGGAGATATTCGCTTTTAAATAAGACTAACGATCTACAGCAATTTTAGCATTGATTTTGGGTCCTCATCAGCACACTTATAAAATAGTGTTTACTGTTTTTGTAATGTCACTGTCATTGAGTCATATTATTATTGTTTATTGGCGTTTACTCTAGTAGAGACAGTTTTAAGTTCTGAAGTATCGACCATTGTTTCTTTAAGTGATCATGGTAGAGATCAACTTTTGGACTTTGGACTGGAAAAAAATCATAATATGCTAGAATCACTGCACAACAGACAATAACAATATGATTTTTCAAAGACAGTGACATGTGACATTACATAAATCATAAACACTATTTTATAGGTGTATTGCCTAGCATGATACAAAGAAAACAAGGTATGATCGCTAGCGACTCCAATTTCGTTCAGTTTGCGCAAATCACCTGTGACGTTATACGCCATACAAAAAAAATATCCATATTGTTCAATTGCCACTAATAAAAAAAGACCTAAAATAGGGAAGAATTAGGACATAACATCAAAAGTTCTGTCAAATCCAACGACTAAAGAATACATATATATTAGCCATTGGTTAAATCATTGGCATAATTTTATTTTGCACGACATCGACAGTTTGACGTTTAGTGGCTAAAATTTGATGGTAGCCGAGGCTCTTACGAATAAAAATTAACGGTCTATCGACACAAAGTTGCACGAAGGAGTTTTGGTTGCTTTGGTTAGCCTTTTTTGCCTTTTTTGGTTGTGAATCTTTTGTTTTTTTAATATAAAATCAATTTGGGATGTCTTTTTTAGTGAGTTGTAGGCAACCAACGATACATGTGACGTCAAATTGTGCAAAATAAAAATACGCAAATTTGGAAATCATTGAGCTTGACATTTTAAAAGCAATTTTCACATTTATTATGTATCATCAGTTTGACAATTTGAAATAGGCGCGGAGCTTGTCGACCAATGGTGCGTTTATCAGTGGTGATGTAGTGACTAACCCGCGCAATATCAATACCTTGTTTTCTTTGTATCGTGTAAAAAATACGAAAAAATGTCAGTGTCGTCTTCAAAAGCGAATATTTCCAAAAGAAATACAGCTATTGAGATGAATCAAAAAACAAACTATCGAGAAAAGATACATCTAGATGATAAAATAAATTTTACCTTCCTTGTTAACGTACTCCACAGGGTGCTCCAAAGTTACTACACCAAAATATCAACATTTTCTTTTCCCTCGTATAATTGATAGATATGGAAACTTTTATTTTTCATTTAGAAAGATATACTAAAAAGTCAAATAATTTAGCTACAAATTACTTAAAAAATCATCAAAATGGTCCACTAGACACTCACCTCAAGTCCTCCCCTCACAAATTTATGTATAAAATTTTAAAATATATGAAAATTTTAAGGTGCCCATTTTTCGTGCCGGTGAGTGTAGATTTGTGTGTCTGGAAACGCCTTTATCCTTTTTTAATCCCTCTGCAATTATTACTAATTTTTGACAAGTTTTATGTCAATTTGTAGTAAATGACGTTTAGAAATTGACCTCGCCAAAATTAGCATCGATTGTCATTCTACAGCCGTAGTCTTTAGCGCCGTTTTTTTTCGATCATATGGTATTATATTCTATTCTACGATTTCCAATACAACAATTTGTTATAAAAGTGTTGGATATAAACACTGTTGGGAAAGTGTAAGTTATTCGTAAACATCAGCAGTATTTTTGGTAAGACAAATGGGTAAACTTGACAACAAAAACACTATAAATATGAATGTTACGCTGAATTACCGGAGAAATCCGCAAACTATTACAATTCAAGTGAAATGCGGCGCGGAATTAACAATCATAATCGGAAATTACCGAGGATTATGATCGTAAACATTTAAATAGCGATCGACAAGTGATGTGTAAAGAAAATATATACGCAACTACTGTCGGAGAAAACCGACCTCG